AGATTGAGCTTGAATTTTTGTTTTCTGTTTTAGTTTATTACCACTGTAGATACAGGCTATCTGCTTCTCTACCGCACATTCTCTCGCTAAATAGTTCACAGAGGGGAAACACACAATGCAACCCCCCATTGGCTCCCTCTCATCTTTACTGCTGCTTGATGACAGATCCTAATGGTGGGTTGTTGCATTACATCAACAAACCAGTCTGGTTTCCGGTTCACCATAAACGATTACAATCCTGGATCAAATCCAAGTGTTTTTGTCTGTAAACTGAGCTGAACTCTGTTTGTGGTTTAGATGCATCACTCTGACTCAGGGATACTGGCACCCTGCCAGCTGATGACTCAAGGTTTATTCCACACCTGGAAAAAAGGAGACCTTAAATGTTCATTTCCAAGGGAAACTATCTATATATAGAAAGATTGGAAAACATCTAAGCAATAAGCTTATGTAGCCAGCATTATTGCATGTGATGGTCACATGGTCAGTTACCCCACACAGAAGCACTTTAACATCATAAGTTTTAACACACAGTAGCATAAAGGTATTGGTTTGTTTATTTTGACAATATTAGAAGACATTAGTTCCAATTGTAGCGCGCACATATGGTTAACGTTTGTATATTTCATTTTGCCAAATGCTTAATATATTTTGCGCTTCCTTTTCAGGTGTGGTGGGAGTGCCGTCAGCTGGGAGAATGTGGCTGACATACCCATAGACTGATTGGGTGGTACCATCTGGAGTTCCACTATGGCGGAAGACCATGGACTCCATATTTTTAATATGTTGCATAATATCTTCTTTTGCTTTTGTGATTTGCTCATTTTGTTAATTTTGTTTAATGATTATCATTTAAGTTTAATCCTTAAGCTAACTATTTAGTTATTTTTGTTAAAGTTGTGTAGATGTTCTCCCTACTTCTTCCTCAGTGTGTCAGTCTGGTCTGATCAGCCAGTATTTAAGTCCCCTTTGTTTACTGTGTCTCAGGTCAGGTTTGTTTGTTCATTTAGTTTGAAGTTTGATATGTTTGATCTTGATATTTTTTGCCCTTAGTCTCTTCATTTGACCTATTTTAAAGGCCCTTTAATCTTTGTTTGGATTATTGTTACTTTGGGGAAATGAAACCCAGTTTTTCTTGACAATCACCACTGTGTCTTCATGCCCGGCGGCTGGCTCAGTCCCTCACATTGCCCCATTAAATCTTATAGATAGCTTGCTGTGCAGCCTATCCTATTTGGCTTGTTTTTGTTTAATTTATTAAACAGGGGTGTTAATCACTCATTTGTTCTTTGCAAAGGACTCCAAT